GAACAGCACTGGGGAATCGAGGGAAGGGGAACAGACAAGTTGCTGTTGTTTTGTTCTTCAGTCTAGTTGTGGAGGACGTTGCTTCACTGGCCCAAGTGGGCACCATCATTGCGCTCTTCCCGGGCGAGGCAGATCAGTCACTGGCTTCTGGACAGCCGCTCACGGCGGCTGCTGGCTGCTCACGCTGGCTGCCGGCTACACACGGTAGCTTATGGCAGCCCACTGCAGCAGGGAGCTACAGCCTACGCTGTTGCCGGCGACCCATGGCGGCCCAGGTCGAGCTGTTGTTCACCATCTTAGCTGCAGAGGGCAATGTCACTGGCCTTCATATGTGGGATCCGAACCGGGGTCCTCTGGCATCTGAAGCCAGTTCTTAACCAACACGCCACTCGGCCAGCCCTAGAGCACACACTCTTAACAAGGTTGCCGATTCGATTCCCGCATGGGATGGCGCTCCCCACAACTAGATTGAAAAGCGGCAACTGGACTTGGAGCTGAGTTGCACCCTCCACAACTAAGATTGAAGGACAACAACTTGACTTGGAGCTGATGGGTCCTGGAAAAACACAATGTTCCCTTCCCAATTCTCCCATAAAATCTTTAAAAAAAAAAATAGAAAAAGATTCCTGTCCATTGGGAGGCTCTTAGGACAGCTGAGAATTCCTCACTTCAGGATAGACTCCTCGCTTTGTTTTAGGTTCATTTTCATATAGACAGCATCATCTTTGGACTGCCTGGCCTTTCGTAGTGAGGTTTGTGACCTGGTGTCATTGAACACGCTTGACACTCGATCATAAGAGGAGGTATCGGTATAATCTGTGGCACCAGGTGTTCAGAGATTCTTGATTTACTGCAGCCTCTTAGCAGAGGGGCCCGGCCATTTGAAAGTGACTGGGTTTCTGTTCTTTCTGTAATGACTGACGGCAACAACTCTGGCTGCTCCTTGACACATGAGATTCTTAAGCCAGAAGAAGAAGATGTATGCACGTGTGCCAGGGATGAGAAAGGTGAAGGCATCTCAGAGCATTTGTCAGCGCAGCGCAGAGTGGTGGACCGAGTCCCAGCCAGACGGAGGCCTAAGTTCTGCCTCAGTCTTGTTCTCAACCAGAGCAGGTGGCTGGGGATCGTGGCCAAATCTCCAGTTGAGCCTTGAGTTCTTCAAAGGGGACTGGCCTAAGCCCTCTAAGAAAACTCTTAGCTCAGAAATGCACTGATACCATTACATGGCTAAAGGAGTGGTTCCCAACTCCAGGCAGCACTGTAGACTCATGGTGTGTGTGTGGGGGGGTGGCCTTTTTAAAAGCATCCCCAACTGCCAAGAAGTCAGCAAGAGAGGAAACTGAAAAATAAAACCAATGTAAGGCTAGCACCCCACATTCGTGTCTAAGATTTTGTGCACCCAAGTAGAGAAATACAAAAGTGTCATGTAGTTCTCAGGAAAACAACAGAAAGACGGAAATAGGGTCACTTGAGAGTAATTGGAGAAGGAATAAAACAGCTCAGGATGATGGGAGCTGTCCTTGGTGCTGACAGTTCTCCTGTAGGTTTTCATAACATGGGATGTAATAAGGCACATCCTTCACAGTACCCTTCAGCAATAAACACAGTGACAGTTCCTGGGACCGTTTCTTACAATGTCCCTGGTTTAAGGCTGTGGTGTGACATTTTTTCAGCCCAAATGATGTAACCTATGAACTCAGCTCTCTACCAGTCTGACTTGACTTAAGCATCACATGTAGTGTGACTAGGCCAGTTGCACCTACAACTTTTTTTATAGTGAGGGTCAAATTTCTCAGACCTTTATGAAAGTAAGGCTATATTTAAATATATGTTGTCTGAAAAAGTTGACAAACATATGGATTTAGTCAGTAGTAGCCTTTAAAATCAATGTTCAGGACACTTAGTGTGTACTCAGTAAATATGTGAAATTAATATTTATGACTCATAAAAGCGTCCATATATATTTCAAAAATGGTATGTTGTAAGTCACAGCTTTTTGGCCTTCTGTTCCTCAGTTTTCTTAACGGTGAAATAGGGCTATGAATCAGCCTTAGTACATAGGATTTTTCTGAGGAGTGAATGAGTTAATATATGGGAATCGTGTAGTACTGTGCCTGCCCCAGAGTCAGCACCCATTAAGTGTTAGTACTATGTGTGGAATGTGTTATTGTTCATGATGCAGACTGTCTTGCAATGATTTTCTCCCCTCTCCCCCAGGGGTGTGTAGACCATTGGTTGGGAACCATTCAGAGGCTCTTGTGTACAGCTCTTCAGGTTGTGCACTGCACAAGCTCTGGCTGTGGGGACAAGCTGGGCTGAAATCCAGCCCACATGCTGCTCACCTGACGATGAGCCCTGGTGCAGTGCTGCCCTGAGGAAGGCAGGTTCTCAGCCCTGAGGTCCCACAGCATGTGTGGCATTGTACTGGATCCAACAGCTATTTTTTTCCTCCTCACTGCTCTCCATGGAACTTAATTTCTGATGTGAGTTAATAATTGATTCCTGATGCCTCCACTTATCGGTATTTTAGCCAATAGCTCTGTTCTACCTGGAGCTCCTGCAGAGACTAGCAATGAAGAATCATCAATGACTATTTGTTGCTTGTTTATTTGGAGAGCCCTACCTCTCTCCACTTTCCATGCTGACCACTTTCCGCTGATACTCTCAGCTCCTGCAGGACCAGTTTCTACCCATGTTTACACTGGCTCTGGGTTCTCAGTGCTTCGTCCACATGAGCTCATCTACTAGCCACTTCCCAGGCCCCCTCCCTGTGTGTGCCAGGCATGTAGGAGAATGCTTCTCATGCACTTGTGTGGGTACGTGATCAGGTACCTGTCTGGAGGGCCAGAGCATGGACGAATTCTGCCAGGGCGTCATTTTCTGGAGTGAGTCTTACAGGGTAAGCTGACAGGTGGCGAGAGGGATCCTGAGGCCCCATGGAGGGCCTCCTTGGAAGAGGGGATGCTGAAGGGTCCTTTGTCTCAGAGCCAGAGATTAGGTTGCAGCTCTTTGTGCCATTGAGTCCAAGGGTAGGAGGGCCCGGTGCAAAAGAGCAGGGGTTCCTGAAAAGCAAAGGCTGCAGACCTAGGAAGCCAGCCATGTTGTTCCCACAATTAAAAACCAGACGTAAGCTCTGCCCAGCCAGACATAGAAAGCTAACTGCCGCCAGCCAGCTGCCGGCTCTGCCACTGCTCATAACCGCTCCTTGATCGTCAGTATTGGTGATTTTTGTTTTCCTGTATTTCTCCTAGGTCCACAACAGAGTTTTGTTAGGGAGATGCCAGGAAAGCACTTAAGCATGCAGTGATTGTGAGATTTAATTCCACCTTGGAAGTGCCATTTTTAAATGGCCTTCGTGTGTTTTCTTGGCCTAATGACATCGCTTACTACCTCTTCTCCCCTCTCCCTGTGTGCTCCCCACAGAGCAAAGAGTTCAAGACGCTGTCAGAGCAGTTGTCGGCGGCCACCTCCACGCACACCATGGAGGTGGAGAAGCTGAAGAGGGAGCTGGCCCACTACCAGCAGAGCCAAGGTGGGGACAGCAGCCTGAAGCTGCAGGAGGAGGTGGAGAGCCTGCGGACTGAGCTGCAGAGAGCCCATTCGGAGCGCAAGATCCTGGAGGACGCCCACACCAGGGAGAAAGATGAGCTGAGAAAGGTATGGCGAGGCCAGAAGAGGCGGCGTGGTGGTGGGCTGGCTAACAGAGTACCATCCCTGAGGCGGTTTCTTCTTCAAGCTGTAAAATTGCCACGGGCTATACTGGGGCATGTGTCCCCAGCCTGACCACCCCTCTGCATTTAGATGTAAAGTGCCCAAGTTTAGAAGAAACCCACAGAAGCATGTGTTCATTCACCTAACAGGTGTTGATTGAGTTTCTGTCATTCGCTGAACCACTTGGGCATTTCCTGAGAGGGATGCACATGGCTAGCTTCAGGCATCTTACGGTCTTAGCAAACTGCAGAGCTCGCTAAGCCACATGCGGCTCTTTGGGTGTATTTGTATGTTCGGTCTCAAAAGTTTGCCGACCCCTGGAAGAGCCAATCCTGTCTCTCACAACAATTTAAAAATAATTCGAAAGCCATAAATATATTTTTACATAATCACATTATGTGAATAATATCCTTTAAAAATTTTATAAATGAAACTATGATAGTTTTATTTCCATTTTCAATTTTACTCCAGAGCCTGCGGCTCATGAGCCGCAGTTTGCTGACCCCTGGCGGCTCTTCCGTCTCAAAAGTTTGCCGACCCCCGGTCTAGCATTAGCTACCAAGTCAGCTCAACAAGCTGAGCCCTTGTTGGCTAAAGAGATGGCCCAGAGGTAGTGGCTTTTCTTCTCAGCACTGCCTGCAGGGGTTATAGGCAACCTCTAGACATCCCTATCCATAACAAATCCTCGTGATTTGGGGAAGCTTAGGTGTCGATAGCCTGAGCCTGACCTGCCTACTCCGGTTGGTGTGTCTCATGTTTGCTCTGCACCCCATAAAATAGATCTTCCTGGGATAGGCCCCCATACCTCCATCTGTAAAGTCACACACAAACATTCCCTTCTCCACTCCCAAGATATCTGTTCAAACGAGGGACATCCCACGTGCCACTGGAGACCCTTCCATGGACTTGGGACACTGCCGCTTTCTCCCGAATCTCTACAGCGACCCATGGGCCACATGACACATTGCCCGCTTTTTAGTACCCAGCCCTTGCTGGAGAGGCGCTGAGGATTGAGAATCTAAGAACGGAGGGATTCAGCGTTCCTAACGTTAGAATAACAACTTGCAGTGTTTAAACACTGGGGAGGCTGAATGCTGCCACAGATGAGGTTCCCAGGGTAGGTGTCCGAATTTCCAGATTCCCATCCCTGCTCTGCCATCATTAAATGCATGTGGGAAACCCTCACCTTAGTTCCCTCATCTATTAAAAAAAAAAAAGTTGGTCTAGGTCATTGCTAAGGCCCCTTCTGGACTTGCAACTGGACAGCCCCATGGGATTGTATTTGATGGCTTCTAGAAGGAAAAAGGACCTCAGCCCACTCTGTGGTGCTCATCTCGTCCTCTGCCCCTTCACCTTCTCCTGAGCTGAGCCCTCAGACATGACGGGGAGACACGCAGGCTGCCGTTTGAGATGAGAGCCTGCAGAGCCAGCTCACACTGGGCTTCTGCACATCAGTTTCCTGTCGCAAGCAGAACTTCAGCACCGTCAGACACTGTTTTCCCCAGATCGCGGGGATTTCCCAGGGGTCACAGGTGGGATCCACATGGCACAGAAAAGTGCCCCCCCCCCGTACCTCCAGTGTGTTGCCCAAATAAACCTGCCAGCTCACTCACCATGAGACCCGGACATTGGCTTCATTCTTTGGGATGAAGCATGTGGTGCCGGGAAACTCCTGTTAAAACGGAGTTTCCTACAAGCTATGGAAACCTGTACTAGCTGCCTGGCCCTTGGGAACAGATGGACAGTAACCCTTCCTTCCATGTGAACAATAAACAAGAAGGTGGAATCCAAGGCAGAGAGAAGATGCCAACATTACAACTGGGAACTTGAGACTAGTGATGCTGAGAGAAATAGAAAAGCAAGTTTACCCTCTTTTGGAGCCAGTCAGATGAAATACCTGGGACGTCTGTTTACCCAGCAGGTCCACAAAACAGGGTCTCCTATGTCCACCACTTGATTCACCACCACCATCCCCCCATCCTCCTTCCCTGCTTCCTCCTGGGCACTCGGGCCTTGGAGCACTTTTTAAAGATCCAAGTCTCTATCCAAGGGAGTCTAGGGGATATTATATGAAAACCTTCCTCGACAGGGCAAACTAGAGACGTGGACTCTCTCCTCTCCTTTAAAAAAATTGTCACTATTTCCTAGGAAGGAGTGTGTTGACCTAGGTGTTAAATACAGTGAGAGCTTGGAAACTGGCAAGAAGAAAAAATTCAAAGATACTGCAAGAAGGGTAACAGCAGGTGCAGAGGCAGAACAAGAAAAGAAGCACCTTCCTGACCCCAAACAAAAGCCGATCCCAGAGTGGTAACATGAGAAGAAGTGGGGATAAGATGATTCATTAAGTGCAGTGTCCGCCTCTTTTCTGGAAGAGGAAAAGTAGAAGCAAAATTTCTTCCTTCTCTAGAGCTTCCAGAACACTTTTATTCAGGTAGGTGGGGGGACCTGGCTTCCCCCCACCCCCCTCTTCATCGTCTGTGGCTAGTCAGGGTTTGATATTTCTCAAAGGCACCGTGTCCAACCTTAACAATTCTGAATAATCAGACAGTTGCTTTCCTCTTGGGGTTGTCCAGGGGCCTCTCTGCCTTGAGCAAGATTGATGAGACAGGGAAAGCCTCGTGAGGGGGCTGATTGCTGGTACGGGTTTAATTAATGGATTGGATGTTGCTGTCAGCAAATGTTGTATTGGAACTGGCATCTTGGAAAAGTTTAGGCTCCCTACCCCTGACGATACTCACTGTCAGGCCACCTGACTCCACTGCCTGGGGCTGTGGGAAGCCAGGTCCCCCGGAGGGCAGGAACTCACCCCTGTGTCCAGAGCCGCATGAGTTAGCTTACACCCTTTCTGCTAACGGTGTCCATGGTCGTGGTTCTCCTCGGAGCAGTCTGCACCTAGACCTTCAGCCTCCTTCCCTTTTAGCCCATGCAAGGTGTGCGCTTGGCTCTTTTTAAAGCTGTCAGTGATCCCTGTGCTGACCGACCGATGCAGCTGTGCTGTTTTGTACAGCTGAGCTGTTTTGTGTCCCTAATGAAAGAGGCATGGCTCCCGGGGGCCGCCTTTCACACAGAGGCAATGGCCCATTATCCGTACTCTGCTCTGAAGGGTTGCGGGTGAGTGAGGAAGGTGCCTGGCTCTGAGTGACAGTCCTCGACGCTTGTGAGTGATGAAGAGCTGCCCCCAGGCTCTGAGTGTTCAGACTGGTGTGATTGGGGTTGTGTGTTACGTCATGTTGTCAGACACAGAACCACCTGCTGCAGGTTGGTTACCTTGGGTAGTTACACTATAAAGGCTTGCGGTTTTCCCAGATAGAAGCAGAGAGATATGACGGGGGGTGGGGGCGGTAGGGCTCTCACAGCGGAATGGTTTGAGCCTCCCCTAAGGTGCAGAGCAGGACCCTTGGCCCGTGAAGACTCAGAGTTGTGTTCTCAGCAGCTCCGGGATTCATGATTCCTAAGGAGGCTCATGGCTGTTAGAAAGGGGACCCCATCCCGTCTCAATAGAAGGACAGTGCCTCATTGCAGAAATCATGGAAGTTCATGGCCCTTCATTCACTGAACAGATATTTATTGAGTGCCTGTATTTGTTAGGCCCTGTGGGGCAAAAGTAAGCGATTCTAAAAAGTTCTCATTCTTGTGGAGCTTAAATATTTGGGGGTTATGGGAGAATACACAGACAGGAATTAAATACAAATTACCCATCATGTGCTATAAAGAAAAATAAAGCAGAGTAAAGCGGGTAGAGAGGGACCTGTGGGAGCAGAGGGAGATGTGGTTTCATTTATGAAGGCCACAGACAGTCTCTGAGAAGACACCTGAGCCAGGTGAGGGGTGAGCCTTCTGGAGCCCTAGGGAACAGGTGACAAAAGTAGCAGCAGGTGCACAGGCCCTGAGGTGGAAGTAGGCGGGGCAGGTTCGAGGACCAACAAGGAGGCCACTGGGCTGAGGCCGAGTGAGCGAGGAGAAGAATGGTGGGAGGGGGTGAGGTCAGAGCAGGACACACTTTCTGCCTTGAAGGCAGCGCCAGCCGTGAAACCTGCAGAGAGGAACAGGGGCTTGGCACTGAGTTCCTATGACACACACCAGTTCTCCCCTGCTCGGAACACCTTCCTGTAGCCCTTGCTGTTGGAACGGGTCGTTTGAGGCCC